CATGTGGTCTACATAATGTGGCCTGCCGACGTGGCCACTTCCATACCGATAATAAATTAAAGCCCTCGATTGGTCTCTGTGTCATTCAAGCTCGGGAGGGTGTGTGTATATGTGGCGCGAGCAAGAGAGAGAGAGAGAGAGAGAGCGCGCACCGGTTACTTGTATTTTTGTTGTTAGCATCTGGTTAGCTAGCTGCTAACAGATATAAGGAGCTGTTTCAACAACAAGGTGGAGGGAGAGTCCTCTGCTGTCAGACTGAGAGACTGATAACTACAGCTCAGGTGAGGTTAAGGACTCTGAGTGTTTAGATAGTTAACTTAGTCTAAGTTATCTCAGTGGGTCTCAAACGGTTTGGTCAGCATTTATGTAAACACCTATTTCCATTTGAGGGGGTAGTGATTAGTAAAATATGCATGAATATGGTCTGGCTGGGTGTATAATTTCCGGCCCTGCACATGCTCATTATTACACTGAATAAACGGGCAGTGTGTTAAGGAGACATTTCTGGAAAAAGACATCCAGTAACACGCCTCACAACAGAGATTTAAACAACAGTAAACAGGAAACGTTTGGACACTGTCCCAGGTCAGCTGACTGGATCCGACCAATAGGAAAAGGTTAAATCTAAAGACGATATGAAGATGTAAGAAATGTTGTCAGTGTGTCATTTTTATTTTTTTAAAATACGTCCATCAACACAACTCCTCTTTTCTAATTTTCTAATAATGTGATTTTAAAACAATTAAATCTTGTAGCACTCGGTCGGTTTAGCTTTGTTTCAATTGTTATCTTTCTTTAAGCATACTGCAATGCAATAATAAATAACGTCCCTGTCATAAAGTCAAGTTCTATCAAATTCACTGCACACATCTCTTATTTTAATTGCATGTGCTTAATTTTTGTGAGTATTCTTTAATTAACTTTTTTTTTTAATTATTATATTTTTTGGACAAACCACTTCTTCTTTTTTTTTTAAATATAGGCCTACAGTCGGAATTGTTCTACCATGACCGGGAATTGAACCCTTAGTCGCACAGTGACCTGGATTTCCCTGATTTAACCACTGACCTATACAGCAGCTTAAGCAGGCAGGATTGATTTGAAGTGACTGGATCACATGACCTTAAGACTGGCAAAGACAAAAATCTTTCAAAAGAAATGAAAACATTGAAAGTCCTGCACCTCTGTGTGTGTTTCTTTCTTAAAGCAGCAAACTGAAAATCTGTGTCCCCATTTATAAAACATATTGTTATTTAAAATGTTTTTGTTGTGTTGCAAAACAATTTTTCATTCAATTTTCTTTTCAGGTTTTATATAAAAATGTCTTTTAAAAATAATGTATTTAATTATTATTTTTTATCACTTTAAAAAAAAATCATTTTTACATTTCTTTATACATATTTTTTCAAGTGAGATTTTATGAGTGTGTTTTGTACAATAATTATATTATTATTTTATTTTATTTATTTCATTATTATTTTTATTGTATTATTGTGATTATTTGTTTATGTTATTATTATTTTATATTATTTATTTCATTATTATTTTTATTGTATTATTGTGATTATTTTTTTATGTTATTATTATTTTATGTTATTTGAATATGCGTTGTTGTAATTCTTCATGTCCCTCGGAGTTCTTCCCTGTCATAAAGTAAAGTTCTACTAAAATCCCTTCACACATCTTCTAACACTTCCCTGCTGGTCACTGTTTTGAAGGTATAAATCCTTGCTCAGATATAGAAGGGGGATGTGGTTGGGTCTGATTGTACGGCCATGTTTGGGATTCACAGAAACACTGATTATGGGCGGCCTGCTCTAACCTCTGAGCAATACAGCTGCTATATTATTATTATTAATATTATTATATGTTTCTATTAATATGTTTTTTTATCATTTTATTTATGTTATATTTTACTTTTTTTGTGTTTCGGTGGTAGCACGGTCCTGTAAGGCTGGCCAGTGCTATTTTTTAAATGTGTTTTAAGTGTTATTATTATTATTATTATTAATATTATTATTATTTGTTGTGTTATTATTTTATTATGTATGTATTTTTTTAATTGTTTTTATTATAATTATTTGTAATGTATGTATACCATTTTATTTTATGCTGTATTATTATTTTAAATGTATTTATAAAATGTTTACTTTTTTATTTTATTATTATTTCTGTAGTCTGTCCATAGGATCAATTTGACTAGAAGGAAATGCCCCTGATACTGCTTTATGTGCAGTTATCCTGGCTGGAGTAGACAGCTCCCCATTGAACAGAACAGCAGATAAACACATATTTCGAACAGACCAAAAAACACCTGTTTCCAGTGCACCGTGGCAACTAAAAAAAACATCTACATTTAAAATAGAAAATCTCATTCCTCTCATATGTTGCGCTTATTTTCAGGATTCTTGCTGTTTGGATTTGAATCCTCATGGTTGATTGCTGTTATTGTAAGTGGCTTTGGATAAAAGCATCAGCTAAATGAAATTTAATGTAGATGTGAAACATTAATTAAAATATACAACATGTGTTTTCATGCTGTGTTTAAAAGATTGGATTATGTATTTGAGTTTACAGCACATTCAGTCTACGACCTATTCATTCTCTCTTGTTTATTCCTTCAGTGTTGACTGAATGCATTTCTCTGGAGTCATCCCAGCAGCCTGATGCTTCTTCTCTGAGGATAAGCTGATAACCTCACCCGGAGGCTTTCCTCGAGTCCTCCGTCACATCACTGATTATAACCAGATGAGCTGTGAAGCAGAGAGAACAATCATGTGTTGAATCATGAAGGAAGTCTAAAAATATATCTGTCTACACTGACTGTGGCTGCTGGGAAATGTTTTAAACAGAGAGTGGAGCACTTGTTTTCATGTTGCAACAACACAAGTCAAATAGGTCTAACTGGGTTTTACTGAAAGGGCAACAGAGACATGTTTAAATATTATATTTTTAAGGTTTTCTTCCCATTTTCTCCAGCAAAACAGGATGATGAGTGGACACATTTTCCCAGTAAAGGGGAATTCTACTGTAAGGATTTGAGGATGTTCCCCATGGATTACAATGTAACACTAGAACTGTAAGCAGAATGTATAAATTAAATTAATAATAAAACATACTGACTGTTGAATGTTTAATCACATCATTAACAGTAAAAGGATTATGAATTGCTTCCTTAACATCTTCATAAACAAAATCAATCATAATATAAGATGTCCTGATTGGGAGTTGCCACAAGAGGGCAGTGTAGTCAATAAAGAAGGACAAAGTCATAAAAAGTAATGTTTTGGTATCTGATCTGCGGTGATTCTCTTCTGTTTAAGCCTTTATATATACAGTCTATGGTTTAAGCACAGATACATGCTTTTTTACAATTCGTTGTAATGTGCTGGTATGGGTTTTAGTCATGATTTTTTTTTTAAAGGCAGGGTTTGGGTGTATGTGATAGCATGTACACACCTAGGAGTACTGGCTTACCAAAGACTAGGGCCGTATCTCATTTCTGAGATCTCGACTCCTCGAATCCTCGGTCCCCCGGTAGTGACCCGGAAATGAATTTCAGCGCGCCATGTTGAAGGACATCTCATTTCTCTAAATGCACTTCGAGGACCGAGGATCGAGCGTCGAGGAGGCTCTCTGGAGGAGCTATAATCGAGGATACACTGATGGGTCCTCCGCGGCTCGTCTGCTCGCATCTTCTGTGGGCGGGACTAAGACACGAGGCTGGGAGTCGAGGATAGGAGTCGAGGAGGGGAAATCCCAGAAATTAGTAATATAGGTACCTATAGCTATAGGTTAATCAAATCCTTGGGAACCTTGATTTGTCCTTCATCTGTTCGCACATTTGCAGACCTCCTTGAAAGGGTGCAGAGCCAGGTGCAACAATGAAGTGAGATCTCAAATGAAAGACGTTTAACAGACATTGTGAAATGTAATTAATAA